ATGTTCTTGTCTGGACCAATTCTTTGTTTGGATGTGTCAGTAGTTGTTAATGTGTTGTGTGCTGGAAAATTTGCGACATGCCCGGTCTCCTTGAATTTGTAATTAGCATCTCTAAAAGATTTTGTATTTCTCACCATGGTTGACAATTTTTTTTATTTTTTTTTTAAAAAATAACATGTAAAGAGTCGTGGCAACATGATGGCAATGATAAATTTCCGTTTTTGGTATTATTTCATTATTTATTTGTTTGTATAGACATAGGCTAACCTGGTTTGATGATTTGCTTTGTCTAACCTTAATGATTGAGCTTAGTTATTACTATAGTGCATAAAATATGTTAAGTAGTAATATCTCTCTTTTTTTCTTGCAGAAGCTCACTTGTCAGTGTATACGCGGACATACGCAACACTATTTTGTTTCTACACCACTCTTGATCAAGATTCACATCAGTTTTTTGTATTGTTTATTTGGTCCATTTTATATTATTACTATTATTATTTTTGGAGGCTCTTCTACTTATTTACACATTTAATTTGTCGATGTTGGAGTTGGTTTTTGCACCAAAAGAGGAGTTGGAGTTGATTTTTGCACCAACAGATGAATGGATCTCGCAAAGTAATGAAGAAATGATTGATTTACCATTAAGGAAGTCGCCAAACTATTTCTCAATGAGATCTCTGCTGAGCAAAGCCAAATATTGAAATACCATGCCGACAAAGCTTCTGATCATCAAATGAATAATAACACACTACTACATAATTTCCTGTTGAAGATGGGATTTGACTTTGGAAACAAGATATACAAAATTAGGACTACTAAGGGCTTAATTTATTTTGGTGTCTGTTCACATATAGATTATTCTTGGGTATGTTGAATAAGGTTATGGAGTTCCTTCAGGAATTGCCAAAATACCATTGAGTTATTGTATAGTTGCAGATAGCTGCAGAAGTTGATCACATGGTAGATTTTAGTAGATCACGTGGTAGATTTTATTAGTTTGTATTTATGGAGAAATGCAAAATTGTGCGGGTATGTATGTGTGTGTGTGGTTCTTATGTATAACTTAATTTAATGTCTTCTATGTTAAAATATAATATCTTTATATATGGAGTTACTATAAGTGTTCAGCTTTTATGGAACTATTCTCTTCACATATTTAAAGAAACTTCGCATATTTAAAGAAGATGAATTCATAGTGCAAGTAAAGCATAATATCAATAATAAGAGAGGATCTAGAGGCAATGTCAAATTAGTAGACATAAGATATGTAAAAAGCTGCAACAACTAACCAAAAAGTTGTGTAATGATGCGTAATAAGACCTTTATTGTGAAATATTATTTGCTTATAAGTAGAGTTGAAAAGGATACTTTGCTAAT